CTCGAAACCGCGGGCTCAGGCAATCCACTCACCTCAGCCTCCCAAAGGCGCGGGATTACAGGCTGAGCCACCGAGCCCGGCTCCAATCTTCTTTTATACTTTTTACCCTATTTAAATCTTCAGTTTTATATTAAAAGTTTTATCTCATGGCCGGGAGCGTGGCTGAAGTCGGTAATCCCAGCATTTTGGGAGGCAGAGACAAGAGGATTGCCTGAGCTCAGGGGTTCAAGACCAGCCTGGGCAACTTGGTGAGACCTCATCTCTACAATAAACCAAAAAATAAGCCAGGTGTGGTAGCGCTTACCTGTAGTTCCAGCCACTTGGAAGGATGAGGCGGAAGGATCGCCGGAGCCCAGCAGGTCGAGGCTGCGGTGGCTGGGAGCGGCCACTGCACTCCAGTCTGGGTGACAGAGTGAGACTCCAACTAAAAAAAAAAAAGAATTGTGAACCTAATCACCATCAAAACAATGACTGTTTCCTGACTGATGACTTACTACATGCCGGGCAATGCTAGGTACTTCATACACATTCTCTTATTAAAACCTCAAAACTCAATAAAGACACTGCATTTCATTATAGTACCCCCAGGACACAGATGAAGAAACCATGGCCCAGAGATTTGCTAAAGACAAACATCTAGCAAAAGGCACATCTGGCAAATCTGCCAAGAGTTAAAACAAGATCTCTCTGACCCCAGGGTCAGAACTTTGTCTACAACACCAACTTGCATCCTTGACACATACGAAATATGTGCATTAATTGATCACATATCATTACATTAAAAATCTGCACATGTGACTCTACTGTTGTCCTTTCTAATCCTGGAAGAAGTCACTGAATTTTTAAGCGAATTACATCTCCTTCGGTGAAAAGTTAGCTTGATAAACTATTTGACCACCGTCAGTTGGTACTTGTCTGTAAATCATCTTGATTAGTTTAGAGCCTGTGGTGAAAGTGTAGCATCACAATTTATAGACTCTCTGTGCATTCACCACGGATCACTTCTTTTTGTTTATATTTTATTTTTTGGGCCTTGGCCCTGCATGCTTAAATAGTTCTTGTGTAATGTTCCATGTTTAGAAGGGCCCATTTGTATTGGAAATGTACTCTTCAGGCAGCAGATAAATGGAAAGCAGACCAGTTAATCATGAAATATCCCGGATGTGAATGTGCACACCAGCTGCCTTGCTGCCCCTGGAAATCCTGTTCTCACATGTTTTTCCCCCATGCTGGCCTTCTGCTCCCTCATGGTTCTTTCTCTGGGAGACTGCTTCATATTGGTAGTCTATGGAGTCCCTCTCAAATCCTTCATGCCCAGTCATCCTCTCAAAAGTTGCCAGGTACAGCCTGCTTTGTTGCTGACAAGGTAGATATCAGAAAGGTGAGTTACCACTAAACCAGTGTGGCCCAAGAGCAGCTTTAATTCTTTCTCTCTCCCTGTTTGAAATGGGTTCTATGCCTTCTTTCTTTGGGCTTCATTTTCTGTCACCAGAGGTCAAGAAGCTCCAAGCAATTTTGCCATGTGCTTAGAACTGTGTTCCAAGGGGAATTCAGGAGGGAAAACAACAACAAAAATCTCAATGCTGTTTTTCCTCAAGGCACTTACTGACACCAAATGTTGTTGTCCTGTCCTTTCCCCCATGATGCTCTCCTCTCCTTGTTCCCATCATCGTTTTTCCACTCAAGTCCGAAACCAGTATTGACTTTCTGCATCTTGCCCTTTAACTTCCTTTATTATTCTGTCCTGCCTGTCTTTGGAAGGGTCCCTTTGTGCTGAAATGTTTCCTAACCGTGGCAGATGAAGGGAAGGCAAACACTGTGACATTGTCAATGCAGTATTAAATTGAAGTAACATCCTTCTGGGGTCCAAAGACAATTCAGGTATATTTTATGACCTAATGCCTCCACCCCGCCTCCTATGTGTTATGCTTCACAGGCTACTGTAGTCTCTTATACCTCTTCTGAGGAGTTGTGACATTTTGGTGTATAATTACTTGGTTCACTTCTGTTTTCTCTACGAAACTGTAAACTACAGGAGTTAGGACCATGAGTGTCTTGCTTTTTGTTGTATAACCAGTATGTGTTAAAAATGTGAAGGAATGGTCCCTGGCTGAGCCATGTGAATGAATGGTTGACTAGAAGTCTGATGTTACGAGTGGAAAAGACAAAATGTAGAACATTAAAGCCAAAGGTTTCAGACATATCTTGGCCTTTAGATTAGGATAATCATATAATTAATCATCTAAATTAGGATACTCTGGGTGTTAAAGAGGGTACCATTAATAATTATTCTGGGAAGACAGTAAAAAACCATAAGTATTCTGAACAATTCAAAATATGTATCAATATTATCAAGGCTTTTCAAGACAGTAGTGACCAATATGATATTATAATTCTGACACTACTCTGATAACCATGATTTCCTGTCCTCAGAGTACCAGATATCAATTTGAAGTGACATCAATTTAAAGTGGGGTCGAGTTACTTAATATAAAATGAAATATGTACATGATGAAATTAGCAGTGTTCTTTGTCTAAGAAGCTTAAGTGATAATAATGGTGGCATTTTTGAGCATGGGCTAATGGCCAGAGTTAAAAGCATGGAGAGCAGTACAGAAGAAGAGAGGTGGGCTTTTGAATACTGTGAGCCTCTTAAGAATCTCTTTCTTCAAAAGAATCAGCAAATTTCATGCTGCAGTTAATGGACTCGAAGATAATAAAATAAAGCATCTTTGAGTTATTCAGAAGACTGGATTGTGAAACACACAATGAGTTCCTAGATATTAAAAGCATGAATAAAGAAAAGAATTCATGAAAGACAGCAGTGTCCCCACACAAAAACCATCTGTGTAAAGCGGCAGATGTAAAACATATGGCTTCCAATTTTCAGATTAAAAACTAGCTGAGACCTCATCTCTACAATAAATCAAAAAATTAGCCGGACAAGGTAGCGCGCACCTGTAGTTCCAGCTACTTGGAAGGCTGAGGCGGAAGGATCGCCGGAACCCAGTGGGTCGAGGCTGCGGTGGCCGGGAGCGACCACTGCACTCCAGTCTGGGCAACAGAGTGAGACTCCAACTCAAAAAACAAAAAACAAAAAACTACATTTTACCTCTGGATGTGGTAGAAGATCCAAAATTTTCCATAAGCAGTTGTTACATGTGTAGAAGTGGGACCACGGTGAGCTGCCGTTTTCTGAGGGCTGCCTGGGTCCCAGGTGCTTGGTTAGGCCCTAGTTGTGAGCTGTTTCACTCAATCTTTCCATAACTCCAGGAGATGCATGGTGCTATTGCCCCTGCTTGGCGGTCCATGAAACGCTGGTTAAAAACATGAAGTCACTTGCCCGTAGTTGTGTGACTAGTAAGTTGGTGAGGCCTTGCAGTCAGGGAATGCCGAGCTCTTGACTGTGTGCTGCAACGGGAGTGCAGGGAACAGGTATGCATGGCCACCTGTCACAGGTGCCCGCAGGCGAGGGATACATGTGGAAACAGCAGACAGGAGAACTGCTGAAAACCAGAAGCTGAATTGTGTGAGAAAGACTTCAGTTCTCTGAGAAGACAGTTTGGAGTTATAAAACAGCATTTCAGAAGAGTGCAGAGATTTGAAGGGAATTCTAACAGCCAAGGTGGAGCATCCGGGCAAGGGTTGTTTTTGATTTTTCTCAGATCATCTTTTCTGCCAGCTAGTTATTTAAAAACAAACAAACAGGCAACCCCCTCGGGTCCCCTCCCGGTATAGGAGCTTTTCTGTCCTCGCAATAAATCCTGCTTTCTCACTTAAAAAAAAAAAATAGGACCTGTATCTGCCATAAATTCCAAGGAAGGCATAAATTGGGTTTTGAATTTTTTGTAGTTTCTTAAATATGTAGAATATTCAGCTAATACTCCTTGTTTCTTTTCTATGGTTGTTAAAGACATAGGGTGGCATAATAAGCATTAATTTTGAATTATACAATTAAATAATTTTCTTGTAAGTCAGTAAATCAAATGTTTTTTGTGAGTGTAGCTTGAAAATCAGTTTTAGTTTCAAAAGTATGGCCAGTTTCAAGTATAATATTCTTTACTTACTTTAAATCAGTGACTATAGGTTTTAAAATATGGACAGTGATTATTTGCTTTTATTTTTAAAATAAAAAAATAAAACAGTACAATCTTGCCTATGGGGATAGTACTATTTGATTTGA